GGTCTGTGATGATTTCAAAATCACAGCCATACAGGTATTCATGAAACCTCTTGACCTCAGCCACTGCAGCCAAAGCTTCGCGGTCTAATTGGCTGTAATTGCACTTGGTGGCTGACAGAGTCCTTGAATAGTAAGCAAGGAGTGCTTCAGTTCCGTTGGGCATGCGATGGCTGAGGACCGTTTTGACACCAAAAAATGAGGCATCGCAAGTCAGGACAAGTGGCAGAGTCTGGTTATATTGGACCAGGAATGTGACTGTTGACAGCAGTCTCTTTACCGTGGCAAACGCAGTGGCCTTGGCTCTGTCCCAGGTCCATCTGGCGGTCTTGCTGAGGAGCCGATGCAAGGGCTCAGCTACAGTTGCTTTCTGCTTGAGAAACACAATGTAAAAATTTAGAAGTTTGAGGAACGCCAGCAGCTTGTGGGTGTGGGTGTGTGCCTTGATTGCCATCAATCAAATACCACAGGAATTCTACCCTTAGTACAGCAATTTGACATTTTTCTTTTTTCAAATGGAGGCCCTTTTCTCAAATTCTAGCCAAAACTATTCATAATCTTTTAAAAAGTTGCTCTTTATTTGCAGCTGATACCGAGACATCGTCAAAATAAAAAATGACTCCCAGTATTTCCTGCAAAAGCTGTTCCATGACGCTTTCAGTCCAGGGGCAATACTAACACCAAATTGTAGCCAGGTGCATTTAAATGCATCACAATGGTCTGGGCCTCCGCTGAGGCGCCATCTACCAGCAGTTGCTGGTACACCTGCACCATCTAATTTTGCAAATACTTTTCCCGGGCCAAGGGAATGAAGTAGATGCTGGACAATGGGCACCGGATAAGCGCTCTGTTGGAGACCCTTGTAGAGGGTGCACTTGTGGTCCACACAGATGCAGACAGACCCGTCAGGCTTGACCGGGGTCACAGTAGGGGTCTCCCAGTGGGCACGATCAACCGGCTACAGAACTTCCTGGCCAATTAGCTTGTCTAATTCTTGGTCAATTTTTGTTGGAGGGCAAAAAGGACCCCCCGGGGCCTTAATTGAATGGGGGTGATGTTGGGATCCAGATTGAATGTAATTGAGGTCCCCACATACTTGCCAAGACTGCTGCTGAAGACGTCCTTGAACTCTCTCAGCAGGTCTTCGGCACTGTCATCACAAACAGCATTGATGCTGGTCACCCTCAAACCCAGGGACTCAAACTAGTCTAAACCAAGGAGACTTTGTAGTGACCCACTGACCACTGTTAAGGAAGCAAGCTGTCAAAGTTTTTGAATTGGACCCAGAAAGAGCCATGTCCAAAAACGGGGATCTGGTTCTCCTGATAGTCACTGAGATGCAGTTTTTGATGCCTCAGCTTGTTTCCTGATGTTAGGGATGGCCTTCTTGAGTGTGGTCCAGGGCATTATTGTTAGAGATGACCTGGTGTCAATCTCCATGCTGCACAGCGACCCTTCAAGGAGATTCACAATTTTTTTGTTCCGCAGGGTGCTTGCTTGCCCAATTGTTGTTTGGAAGGTGTCGTTGGCATCTGCCCTCTCCTGTCTTTGCCGGACCTTCCATGCCTCTCATCTGGGTGGTCTTGATCATGCGGTCTGGGCAGCAGGCTGTTTCAGTGGTGGTGCAGCTGGAAACTTGGTCCTGCAGACTCTTGCAATGTGTCTCCTACAATCGCAGCATTGGCAGATTGCGTCTTGGAAATGGCAGGCAGATTGCTGGTGGTTGCTCCCACAGCTAGCGCAAGGCGGGAAACAATGTTCAAATTCTCACCCTTTCCCTCCTCTCTGTGCGCATGCAGAAAACCTCATCCTCGCTTTCAGAGAGTTCTCGCTCGGCAGTCTCGTAATGAACTTCAGAGGTTCTGCACATGCTTTTGGGGTTATTCTGCCTTTGCAGCATCTCCATCGACTTGGTCAAGGACTCTGTAGCCCTGGCTTCATCCAACACGATTTGCAAAGTGAGATTGGTTTTCGCTAGCAATCTCCTTTGCAAGTTGATATCTCAGACACCGCAAATAATTCTCTTCAGCAACGGTTCATCTAGATCGCGAAACTCACAATATGCTGCAGCTTTTCAAAGTGCAGCAACATACTGGTTGATGGTTTTACCTTCTTTCTGATTTCAGAGGTTGAACTCGTGTCTCTGCAAATATTTAGATTGTTTGGGAGCATAGTGTGTCCTCAATGTGTGTTGAAGCACTGACCAGGTGATGGTCGGATAGATCTTTGGCAGTGTCAAACACCTCTGGCTCACAGTAGCTCAGGAACATAACTTTCTTGCGGTTCTTGGAGAGCCCAAGGAAGGTCATTCGCTTCCAAGAAGCACTTGAACCTAATCATATACAAGTCCCAGTGTTTGGTTACCGGGTCATAAGGATCTGGTGGGGCATGCATTGTCATCTTGTTCAGTCAAGGCGGCTTTGAATTTGCCACTAAAAGATGGCTGCTTTATGCCGCGCTTGCTCTGGCTGGATTGTTTGTCAGCTCTTTTTGTGCCTAGTTGCCTTCCAATCCCACCTTTGTCGCCAGTGTGAGATCGAGTGAATGGCTGAGGCAGACTCAGGCTTAGCAGTAAACAATAGCTCTTTATTGGGTTCAACTATATACAATCCAGCGCCGCTATGTTTGACAGCAGCCAATGAGAACTGTCAAACGGCTTGGCCAATCACCTTTGAGTATTTTCCCGCTGGATTGGAGGAACTTTGTTCTTTTTTCATTTCTGTAAGCCGCGCAGAGTCCTCCGCGATTGGGCGGCATAGAAATTCAATGAATGAACCTACCACACTGACTATCATATTGTAACAGGGTTACTTCTGGGGATTACCACATACAGTAACTTTAGATTGGGAGCCATCCAGAGTTGGTTAGAAAATGGGCAGCTACATAAATATTTTAAATAAATAAATAAATAAATTTGCAGATCATGTTACATTCCCTTGGAGCCCAAGAATGGAGGTTGGTTACTGTCAGTTGCTCCCTCCCACTTCAACGTGTTCTCTGTGCCTGGCTCTTTTTGGGCCAGTATTTAATGTTTTGTTAGTGTTTTGTCAAATACTCTCCCAATTCACAGCCTTCCATACTGAAGAGAGTGCCTGATGGGTTTTCCTGAAACGCAAGTTGACATTTAACTCTGCTAATCAGGAACAGGATGACACTTCTAACCCGGCATCTCTCCCGAAAGGCTAACTGCCGGCATCTACCTTGCTCTCGCCCGGAGTCTAATTCCTCCGGTTTCAGTACCCCACAAACTCTTTACTCGGCTTTTGAAACGGGAAAAACGGTGGGGCAAATGTGGGCGACCGCCAGAGGGCAGTGAGGGAATAGCTGGATTGTTGGCAGTCCGAATCCATGCAAACTCGCCGCGGGAAGCGTAGGAATAACTCGCCGGTTCCTTCCTTTCTGCCATTCCGGGCAGCCGCCGCCTCCAGGCGGGAAAGACGAACACTCGAGGCCCGGAGCTCCCCACAACCCAACCCTCTCCCGCTGCGTCGAGCCGCGGAGGAAGAAGACGCAGCGCCAGGATCCGAGCGACTTCTCCCTCCCGGCGGCGCTTTCGGGGCCGAGCCCTTCCAGCCACGCCACACGGCGCGGTCGCCGTTCTTCCTCCGCCCGTCCGTCCGTCGCGCGAACAGAGTTGACTATATATGGTCAAAGCCGGGAGATAAACGAGAGCTGGGTGAGCTGCGCTTCCTGCTTTGCGCAGCCGGGAGTTGACGTCGCTCCCTCCCAGCCCCAACGCCACTGGAGGAGGAGGTGGAAGAGGAGAAGGGACTGGCCAAGCCCTTCCTTGCTTTCCCTTGCCTTTGCTCCCGCCGCGGACTCGTCGCCCTTGAAGCCCCCGCAGCAGCGACAGGCAGCCACGATGCCCTACCAGCTGAGTGAGTGGCGGCATTCCCGCCGTTCGCGGGAGAGGCTGTTAGATAGGCCGGGGACTGCGGGAACCTGGTTCTGCCTTCCATGACCAGGGGAGAAGGCAGAGGAGGAAGAGCGGCGTCCCGGCTGGTCCCGTTACTGCCGATCCGAGGCTCCCTGCGCTTCCCCTTCGATAAAATGAGATGGCGGGCCTCTCTTGGGAGGGGCCCGGGAAGCGAAGCTGAATGGGAGAGGAGAGGCGGGGTGGTGGTGTAGGGATACGATTCCACCTCCGATCCGGAAAAATGTAGCTCCGATCATTCTGGAATCCGCCGTCTGGCCGGGGAACCTTCCCAGCCACTCGCGCATCGCCGGGCCGAGGCGGGTTTCTTGATCTGGAAGGAGGAGAAGAGGGCTGGCTGGAGCCGCTTGCCGCTTCCATGGCTGAGTCAAGCAACAGGTTACATTTGGGGCCCGATGCCTCCCTCTTTCCTCCGCAGAGGCTAACCCTGTGTCTGTCCCCTTCTCTCTCGTAGAAACAGTGTTTGCCAGCCTCCCGCAGGTCGAAAGGGGGGTCTCCAAAATCATTGGCGGAGATCCGAAAGGCAACAATTTCTTATATACCAATGGAAAATCTGTCATCATTCGAAACATAGATGTAATGTATTCTAGTTTTTTTACATTTGCTTAATTTAAAGCTTGCGTGTGAAACCACTTTATGGCTTTGTAATTTCTGTGTAATTGGGGGAGAAATGTTTGTGCCGATCTAGGAGGGCGTGGAGAAGCCTCTGTAGCGTATAAGTCAAGAGATCTAAGAATATCCAACAGCCAGGTTGCCTTTAGGGCTCCTGCCATGAAATCCAGAGTAGGAATGGTGGAGGGCAGCTGTTCTAAATAGCACGAAAAACAAAGGATAGCTCAGTGGTTATAATTACTGTGAGATATATTTAATTTGGGTGTGTGCCTAATTAATAAAAGATCCAGAATAAGTGCGTTGGATTGCAAGTACAGCCCTCCCCCCCTTATGCTTCATGAAGGCAGCCCCTCTTATTTTCATATCCCTGTCAATTTAAAGTGGATTTTCTTCCTTTTCCCTCCTACTCAAGTGAAAATCAGAGAAAAGAGGGGCTGCCTTAATGACTAGAAGAGAAGGGCTGTGATTGTAGTTGCATAAAGTCCAAATCAATTTATCAGAATATTTTTTAAACTATACATACCCTTAATTTATATAGAAAAATGCAAAGCACTAGATACATTGAACAAAATTAAACAATTAAATATTAAGACCTTGCATGTTGTATTTTCCTTAATATTGTAACCAGTGTGGCAGAACTCCTGTATTAGTTTCATGAGTTATGATATTGCATGTTCAGATTGTATAAAATTATTATTTTACAAAAGGGGAAAGAGAGCCAGGATAGGCATCCTTCAAGGGCCAGGTCCACTGACAGGCAGGAGTCCTGGCTATGGTATCTTGGACTCAGAAACCAGAGGAACAGGAAAAGAGAAATAAGATAGGCCCAGCCAATAAATAAACATAAATCATCCTTTTTGATGATCTGAGCATGCTTCCCACACATTAAAAAGCATTGGGACTTTTCTAACATCTGGACTTTGGGGAAAGAAAAGAAAAAAATAGTTGGTAAATTTATTTATCAAATGTATATAGCCACCTCACCAGAACTGAAAGTTGCAAATGATCTCATATGGACTCCCTTTTACATGAAAGAATTTCAAAACAGTTTCTGGATGAGAGGCTAGTTAGCAGTGAGAGTTAATTGGGCATTGGAGTGGCTGAAATTACAAGTATGAAAAAGGTTACTATTCAATTGTCATATAAATCTCCATATTTAGATTACTCATTAGATTTTAGCAGAAACTTAAGAACTGATAATAGAAATTAAGAGATGATGTTGTTTTCTAAAAAATTGTTTGCCACGGCAGCTTTCTGTATTACCCCATTAAGACCTATCTTCTTTTCTGATTTTACTGTTTACTGTTCCTGTTAGAAATGTTCTCATACCTGTAGGCAACATTCATTGAATCACATCCTATCATATCTTGCAGCTAAAATCCTTCCTCTCTAGTTCTGCATGTTGTTAGGGGATACCAGGGGAAAAGCATTCCAAGGGTTGGAGCAGTATAGCTTTGTTACAGTGAAGTATACTATGGATTATGTACCTTCAGTGCAGCCACATTACAGGCAGTCCTTGACTTACAAGAACAATTGAGCCCAAAATTTCTGTTGCTGAGAGAGTTGTTAAGTGAATTTTGCACCATTTTATGACCTTTCTTGCCACAGATTTACCTTATTTTTCGGAGTATAAGATACATTCCCCCCCTAAAAGAGGGTGAAAATTTGGGTGTGTCTTATACACTGAATGTAGCCCTGCCTACCTGCCAGCCCCCACCCTTTGGCCTCTGCCTCCCAGCAATTTACCTCGTTCCAGCAAATGGGGAAAATGGGACTTGTGGAGGCGGCCATAGACTATGGTGATTGATCTGAAATTGAAAGTGAAAAGGCTGTTTGCTGCAAAGAGGAAAATTGGTGGGAGGCAGATTTTTTTTTCTTGTGCAAATCAGGCTGTGCTGAAACTGAAACAGGCTGTTTGCTGTTTACTGCAAGGAGGTAAGTCAATAAGTATAAATTCCTATAGAATGTTCAAATTATTAGACTTATTTTTTAAAGACTGCTTTATTATTGTTCTAGACAACTTAACAAAATGAAGATTTTTTAAAATAAATGCTTGATCTGAAGAGGCCCAGTGCTCTTGTATCTTCTTTTAAATAGCAGTGAATAACATATACTTCCAGAAAGCCACATCAATTTTAACAGCATCTGTACAAGTATAGTCTGAAATGTAAAAGCATAAACGTTGTATATTGTCTGTGCTGTTTGCTGCAAGGAGGTAAATTGCTGGGAGACAGAGGCAGTTTTTTCCTCTTGTTTTCCTCCCCAAAAGCTAGGTGTGTCTTATACTTCGGAGCGTCTTATACTCTGTAAAAGCACAAACATTGTATATTGTCTGTGCTGTTTGCTGCAAGGAGGTAAATTGCTGGGAGACAGAGGCAGATTTTTTCCTCTTGTTTTCCTCCCCAAAAGCTAGGTGCGTCTTATACTTTGGAGCGTCTTATACTCTGAAAAATACGGTAACTGAATCACTGCAGTTAAGTTAGTAGAATGGTTGTTAAGTGAATCTAGGTTTCCCATTGCCTTTACTTGTCAGAAGATCACAAAAGCTGATAACATGATACTGGAACATTGCAACCATCATAAATATGAACTAGATGTCAAGCATTTGAATTTTGGTCATGTGACCATGGGATGCTACAACAGTTGTAAATATGAAAAACACAGAAGTCCCTTTTTCAGTGATGTTGTAATTTTGAATTGTCACTAAATGAACTATTGTAAGTTGAGGACTACCTGCTTTTTAATTAACTTGTTTAAGTTACAACTATCTGAGAACAAAAGGAATGTACAATTTCAACAGCTGGATACTTTCTTCCATGAATATAAATGCCTCCAACTTGACCACACTGGATATACTGATTGCAAGAGGTCCTCAGTTAATGATGCCAAGTGGGATTGGAATTGCTGTCATATCATGCCATTGTGCTGCTTACCAATGACAATTCTGGCATTCTTGATGACACGGCTGCAGGGATGCTGCAATGATAGGAACTTCGAGGACCAGTCATAAGTTACCACTTGCTCAGCACTAATGCAAATTTGAATGGTTGCTGAACAAGTAGTCCTTAAGCAAGGACCATCCATATAAGTCCCCAGATTTCCAGCCAAATCCAACTTATCTAGATTGCATCAGGTTTCTGAATCTTGTGCTAAGAATTGTTTGCTTTTTTGATATGTAAAACTTTAAAAATAAGAATTTATTCCACTGTCCTGAACTACTGGACTACTGATTTAAAATGTTATGGTAAAATTACTTTGTTAAACTGTTAATTACATGCCATGAAGTCATTATCAATACTTAATGGCCACGTACATTTTTGAGATGATCTGTCCCCAGCTTGGTCCTTGTTTTTCAACAGTGCATTGCTTCTATAAATGTATGTATTCACCTTGCTGCTGGTCATCCTTTTCCCCCCCTTCCATTTCCCCCTGCATTATAGTCTTAAGAGAGCTAGGTTTTTGCATTGTGTCTAAATTGGAGCCTGGCCATTCATGCCTTGAAGGAAAACTGGATTGATTTGTTCATTTGCTTATTTTCTTGGCTATCCAAAGTATTTCCCCATCTTCAAAGTTCAAAAATGTCAATACTCTTTCTATCCCTTTTCAGTATTTTCACTGTTAATCAAAAGCTGCTTGCAATATTGTACCTGTTGTCATTAGTTTGGTCTTTACATTTAATCTTAGTCACAGTTTTTTACTGTGTTCTTTGACTTTCAGCTTGCAAATGTAGATTTTCAGCTAGCAGAGTAATGTTATTGATGTTTCTTGGTCCAGTTTTAAAATCACACTTGATTAGCATGGTGAACTCGCCCTGGCCTGTGACATTGAGGGGCACCTGTGATGGGCCAGACAAGGCTGGGAGGGGTGATCCAGGGTGAGCGCCAAAGCCTGGCGGGGCGGGGGGGAAGCTGAGCATCAGGACTTGTGCGCAGCTGGGGAGGGTGCTTGGTGGGATATCAAACAGTGCTGGGGGGAGACGAACTGCCCATTCAGTTTTAGACTGGAATCCAAGTGCAGAGGCAACAGCAGTGGGGAGAGGTCAAAATGGGAAGTCCCTGTCTATTGCTGCCTGTCCATCGGCTGAGGTGGCTTCCCCTTTTCACCCCTCTTCCCTTTTGCAGTTCGTGCAGTACTGTTCGACACCCCCCACCCCCCCAGGTACCCTCTTCATCTGCGCACAAGCAATGTCCTGCAGTTTGTGTAGGACTGCAGAGCAAGCTGATCAGTAGCGTGAGATCATGATCACTGATTTCACACTACAGTAGTTTAGGCCTCTGTTGTCTTGTACCAGAGCCGTTTGAAGTGCGTTTGCAAGATAAAATTTTGGGGCAGTGAAATCACCTTGCTTGAAGCCTCCCATCAGCTTGAAAACACCTTCCATGCTGTTCCAATCTGTAAATGGCACGATGAGCATTTACAAGCTGATGGAAGGCTTCAAGCAAGGCGATTTCACCGCCCCAAAGTCTTGTCGGCTTGGAAATGCTCTTTGCACCGAGACTGCAACAGTGCAGGGGTTTGCAAACCAATAGGAGACTTGAAGCAAGGGATTTCGCTGCCTCAAAGCCTTGTCAAATACTTTTCATGCTGTCTGAATCTTCCTCCACACTCAGAAAAGTATGAGGCCAGGGGGAGCGATTGGCATTGCTGCCGCCGGTCATGGCTTTCCCATGCAGGGGCGGTGCGGTCCCAGTGAAAGGGGACTGCAAGGCCTGATCTACAACTTGGTGTGGCCATTCGGGGCAGAATATGGCAGCCTTAGATCTGACCCATGCGGTCGCCCTGAAGCCAGCGAGAGACCAACCCCACTGCCTTGGTCTCACCCCCTGGGCATGCACACAGCAAACAGTGAGCGCATGTGACCTGAAAGAAAGAGGAGCACTTAGAATATAGTTAACCTGCGTGGCAAGACAGTCCCCAGGGACACCAGGGCCTGCATGTGCTCACCGCCTCCTGTGAACATGCTT